AGAATGAGAAGGTCCCAGAGTTTGGTTTGCAGTCATTTCATAGTATATGTTGAATGGAAGTACTTTGATGCAGTGCCCAAGGGTAGGGTGGAGGCTGACGTGGAAATGCTGTGGTGGGACACAAGGCATGACTGTGTGATGGTGGCAAAGCTTAGTGACGGAAGTGCTGACAGCATGCTTCACGTACACCACCACACAAGGCAGCTCAGAGGGTTGTGGCAGCAGCCCAGGCCTTATCTTAAATAAGGAATCTGTCCTTTTCACTGCACCCATGCCTTCATTCTCTGCCTTCTTCATGCTGCTACAGCCACTTCCCTGTGAGCCCCTCTTCTCACAGCTGAGCTGCTCTCCTCAGGGTTCCCCACCGCAACCTATGAGTGCTCTGCAACTTCAGCTGGCCAGAACATCTCACTGAAGGAAACACCGGGGCAGGGGGAGTCAGGGTGTTCCTGAGGCAGAGGGACACGGGCCATGCTACAGGTCAGCTCTGGTGATCTCTGGGAACCTGTCAGATGTGTGCAAGCTGCGGGCATTGGGACCAGGAATGGAAGAGCTCTACTGGTTTCTGCTTCCTCCCCATTCGTCACTGGAGTATGGCCCAGTCTCTTAACTTCATGGCAAAGGGTGCAAGCGAGATGGTGACTTAGAACACTTAGARCTCTGAGGCTCAGACATGCTCTTGTTTGCTTGTGAAAGCAACCTAGCAACTGGCTTGAAGAATGARCAGGTAGCTTGGTGCTTCTTTCAGAAAACAATAGGGAAAAGTGTGCTTTTGGGGAGAACCACAGTAATTGAACAGGTGATATGGGAGGAAGAAAAATACTTYGTTCTGAATGTTTCATTGAGGCACTCATGGGCAATTATGGGCTAAAAGCTGAGATATGTTAGCTTTAATAAAGTATTTATAATCCAGTGATTACTATGTTTACATAACTGTTGTGCTGTCAGGCTCCAGGGTGACACCTCCTCTCTGGTATATAACTGTAGAGAACTGTGGGGCTGGTGCCACTATCAGGCACAAACAACATTTCTGGAGATGAGGGCATTTTCAGATGGATAATAAATAGACTCAGCCCTCTCCAGAAGACCTTAAATAAAATATGGTCCAAGTATTGTGAATACTAGGAGAAGCAAATGCATGAAAATATTTTCTTGCTTAGAACAAGAAAAGTAAAGTAATTTATACACACACACAGAGGATTATATGTATATAAAATGTGCATGTAAAAGAACATTAGTCAAAGCCTTAATAAGTGTAATGTGAACAATACTGTACCATTGACTATAGCTTTATTGCAGGCTGTATAAAATCATTTTATCTCTGTTTTGGTWTTTTGGTTTGTTTTGTTTTTGCTCTGCTTTGTTTCTTTTTTCAAATTTTTGGCCTTTTCACAGGCAAGACCTCTGTTCTCAAGCTGTTTGACCGTGCAGATCTGGGGAGTGAGCTGTGCTAGATGGGGTGTGTGTTTGTCCTTCCTTGCTTCAGTTCAAGCAAAATTACAGTGACTCAGGTCTGGAAATAAAAGTGTGACATCAATCCCTGTGAAACAGAAGTAAAGTTTCAGRTGACAAGCAGCAGTTTTAAGTTTCCTGACCCACTAGTGGCAGCAATGGCTCTAGGGAAAAGTGACTGTAGCAGCTTCCCATGTGCTTTAACACCTTTGTTCCACGTTCTGGTAATTTCCCATCTACCCCAGACTGGTTTGTTGCAGATGCTTGCAATGTGGTTTGACAACTCTACTACACTCATCCAGGTGTCTTTTGTGAGAGTGTTCACAAACTTACTGTGCATTTCAACCAATGATCTTTGTAGAATATTTTTGCTGTACTGACTGGACTTAACAGTCAATAATTCTAAATGTGTGAAAATTTCTTTAAAAAAAAGTCAACCCTCTGATGTGTGCATATGTATTCTGGTCTTTCTGTGGCTTTACATTTCATTAACTAGAATAATTTTAAAAGGGGGAGAAGAAGAGGGTGTGGGGACAATCACAAATGTACCTGTGCCCACAATGAGTCTCTGCTTTCATTAAAGACTATGGATTCAATTGCACATTCTGTTGTATGCATGCATTTTCCACTTCCTCAGGGAGTGGAAATTTATTACATTCCTTTTCTGCCAATTRTTGTTTGTGTCTACTACTAACACCAGGATGGAACTTTCCTGTGGGCTTTTAGGTTTGTCTTGGCTTTTGCAATCAAGGGAGCATTTGGAAAGTGGAGCAGAGAAACAAGTGGGTTGACCAAAGGGCTGCACTGTTCCTTGTGTGACTCACGCTTTAATGGGCTGGGATGCAAGTCTGCTGTGATAAATATTAGGGATTTGGGAATTAGTCCATAAGTATGGTTCAAAGGACTAGGCTTATTTGCTATCCTACAGGCTATGGCCTTCAGCAGCAGGTCCCAAAGACCAGAGACATGAAACTCCAGTCCAAAGGACAGCAGGAGGAGGCAGACATTCCTTACTGGAGAGTTGTGATCTGCATTCCATGGCAGTAAAATGCTGCTAAGGCAGCACATAAAATGCTTTTCTTTTCTTTCTGTCCATTGCTTGATGTCTACTGTGCTTGCTAATGACCATGTCTGTGTTCTTTCCCCAACACACACCTAGTTCATTTATGTCCCATCACCCAGAGCATTTCCTGTGGTGTGTGTCACAGATACCCAAACCTTCATGGTGTCTGAATTTCCTGCCAGCTGTTCCCAAAGGCAAAGCAGCAATGGATGAGAAGTGAAGTGAGATGAAGGAGAGATGAAGTGAGGAATAAGCATCCCCATGTATGTGTACCATCCTACAGCACACTACCATGGCACAGTATGACCCAGTGGCACAACTTTCTTCTGACAAAGAACAGTGCCTCAGACCAGAGAGACTCATTGGTCTCAGCATCAAGCCAACAGAAATCTTCCACTTTTTCCTGGCATTACTATCAAATCTTCTGGAATATGAGGTGCCAGCCTTAGAAAGCAAAAGCAGGATTCTCCTCTGTGCCTCATGTTAAGTGCAGCTTAGAGCCAGAAGTTGCCTTATTTGCCATGCAGCTGGTAGGGAGGAGATGAAGGCTCCAGTGCCCTGAAGCCCAGCTTTCCAGGTGCATGCCATAGCCTGGATGTGCTGGGCCCCAGCCAGTTTGTCTGAGTCAGCCCAAAAGAAATGCCATCTCTTCCTTTTTGCAGGTCCTGCATGTATTAGCAGGAAGAGAAGCATATCCTAAAAGGAGCACTAATCCTGGTGTTGGGCAGTCTGCTGTTACTGCATGCAGGGATTTTTCATGGAGAAGAGCGAAATGGTGAGTGGGAGCTGCTTGGGYTGTTGGATGGGAGTAGTGGGGGGAGGACAGAAAGTGGGAGAGGTGAGGCTGCTGGACCACCCATCTACTGATGGGTGAAAAGCTAAGGTTGAAAAGCTCCCTGGRGTGTTTAGCCCTCCCATTGTCTGCCCCAACCAGTCAATCAAGCTCACTCTTTCATTAGCTGTGCATTTCCTTATAGTGCAAGAGACAGTTTCAGATACCTGCTTGGATTTTAGCATCCGCTCCAGCCTTTCTGTCCTGATCTTAGAACAGTTAGAGCAAAGAGATGCTGGTGTCTGGATTATGAAGCAGACCTCTGCAAGATTATTGTCATGGGCAGGTTTCAAGTGAGCCCTGTCATTGTTCCAAATGAAAGAGCATTTTCATATCCACCTTAGAATATGTTGGAATATTATCCCAAATGCTATCCCACATGATTATTTATCCCCTGACTATGTTCTGTGTTCTGGAGTTGTTTAGTAACAGAGCATTTTCTCACTGCCCTGTGCCTCTCATGCAGTTTGTGAATTGTTGATAGATGTTGTTTGTCACTGTTTCRTTCATTGCCTCCAATGAATCAACATCCCAGAGGGCAGGAGGGCATGAATGTGAATCATGCCTTCCAACACTACCAGATGTAAGCCATTTCTTAACTTRTTCTCAACACAGCACACATGCTGCTGAGTTCCTGATTGCAGGACTGGCTATAGGGGTAGCCTTAGACTAACAGAAAGCTCAAGGTAATCTCCTCCCTATGTATCCCTGGAACTCATACATAACTTCTGTCTCTGGCTGCACGTCTGTCCATTTGATGCAATCCCAGATGAGTACTCAGGAATGGTTTGCCATTGTTGTAGAGTACACAAGCATTAAAGCTGCAGCCTTTTCGGGAAAAAAATGGAGGGACAAGGAGGAATGGGCTTAAGATGTGTGCAAATACGATATTTCCTTCAAAATAATGCTAAATATTTCCAAAGAGAGATGGGGATTCCTGCACACTGTTTTCTCTGCAGTACTCACATGGTTTCTACGTGCCTTATGACAAAAAATCACAGATATTATATTTTGYCTTTAGGACTTTGTATGACCATGGTACAGGGGCCAACAAGTGTCTGTGTAACAGAAAATCAATATAAATGCAACAAACTGAACATCCAAACACAGCCAAAGCTCATGGGAGCAAAGAAACCCAGAAGAAAGTCATCTGTGGTGGAATATATTTATGAAAATCATTCAGCCCCTTACAGAAAGCAAAGCAATAAATTATAGCTGGGGACAGAAGTAAGATACACTACGATTTCCTGAAATTAGTTAATAAAGAGCATCTAAATCCTTGCAGTGATAATGATGATGGAAAAAAAAGCACCCAGAGAGCTGGTTGCAGTCTCCAATGCTCAGGTAACTGATCTCCTTGCAACAGCCTTTAAAAAGCATGAATGCATTCTTTTCATTTGGCTGAAAGTCCCCAGGATGCAGGACCCCCTTCCCCTCAGGCACCGTGAGCCTTCCCAACTTGTGCTGGGCTGTGACTGCTCTGGAGCTGCTTGCAGGCAGCAGCACTGAGCACAAGGCATGACAAAGCCAGGATCCTTACCCCAGAGGGACAGCCCTTCCCACAGGATGCTGGACACAGACTCTGCAAACCTATTCTGCAGTGCAGCAGCAGATGTGGGCACTGCCCTAACCAAAATTAAGTAACAGCTCAAATCTTCATAAATAGATTTTTATTTATGGGATCATGAATGTACACAGATGCAGCACTGTCCATCTGCCAAGCAGTCTCTTGGTGGGACAATTTCTGTGGGAGCCACCACGGGAGCTGTGTTGGGGAGAAAACCAACTGTTCATGCAGCCACTGCACTCAATGATCCTGTGGCAGAGCATCAGTGCAAGGGGCTGCAGCATCACCCTGGTGCTCCTGCACTGTGTAGAGCTCTGGGAGGCTTCAGAGGTCTCCTCTTTGTTCCTGTGTTTGGACTGCCTTCCTGATGGCCTGGGAAAGGTGAGCCAATGCTCCTGATTTTAGTAAAGGAGACATAAAGGAATAGCCAGGCTCAGGACAMTGTGGAGAGTGGTTCTGTGCTTTTCAGCGGGGAACAGCACAGAGCTGGTAGAAAGCAGGCACATTGGTTGTCCCACTCAGTGTTGGGGTTATGTTGAGCTCCTGGGGGTCGACAACAGACTTCAAGGTAAAGTTCTGCAAGATGGTGGTYATGAGTAAAAATATCTCCATTCGTGCCAGGCCCTCTCCGGGGCATATTCGTTTTCCTGAAAGTGAAAGCAGCAATTAGAACAAATGTCAGGGTGTTTCTGAGTAGGCCAGAGTTTGTACTAAGCAGCTGTGTTGCACAGCTTTGTTTACTACACAGAGTCATAGCAGTGAGATGTCTGTCAGGATAACTAAGGGCATTTTCAAGACAGGAATTTGTTGGCCAAAGACCCTTGACAGTTTGGAAGAAGAGTTCACCCTGGCGGTAACATGACAGGAGTCAAGGTGAGGGAGAGAAGGGTGACAAAGCACGGAGGAGAAAGTGGAAGGTTGGGCCTATTGGTAGGCCARTGGCTGCACGTAGCCTAGGAGGTACTAAAAATGTGCTGGGGAGAAATGGAGCTAGCAGAAAAAGATTCGTTCAGGACAGTTTGGGTGTTTGTGTGGGAAGGTGGCAGGTGTTTTAGAGAATGTCAGTGAATTGCATTCACATCATCACACTGACAACTCCTAGTAGGAGATTTGAGAAGCCATGAGGCCTGAAGAAGATTGGAGATGCCAGTGGAGATGGGAGCAGCAGGGAGGAGTTATCCAGAGAGCAGTGAGCCCCAAGGAAGCACCAGTGGGACGGTGTTGGGAAGAGGCAGTGTGTGTTGCAGGGAAAGACAGGGTGGTCAGCAGAGGAGGAGGCTGACAGAGAGAGGAAAAGAGCAAACCTGWGCTTTACCTGCTGAGAAGGGCATGAAGAAGTTGCTCTTCTTAAAGGTGCCATTCTTGTTCAAGAAATGTTCAGGGTTGAACTCATRTGGGTTTGGAAACTCTTTACTCTCATGCAGGACAGAACTGAGGATGGGGAAAATCGTGGTGCCCTAAAGTAACACAAGAAGAGCCGAACATGAAAGGCAGTCAAGTTAGATCACTGGACCTGACTGTCTGCCAAATTGAGATTGAGTTTCCCTGTGTAACCCTACCAGTGCCTTTGGTTTCCCTTTGGGGACCCTTCTTTAGCTGAGGCAGCTTTAGGGAGATGCTACTGAATGGCTCAGCAGTGACAGCTKTTGGCTGCTCTTCCTGGACTCTCTGTCTCTCCACCCGAGCCTTTATCCTCACCTTGCTGTGGTCATTAGGGGACACCCCACTTAATTCTTCTTGTTGTTCCACAATAATGACSTTGYAGATGCACCATGTCCCTTCTTTTCTGTGAGGCCCAAAAAGCAAAAACRCACTCAWGGCTGTGSAAATGAAGCTCAATTCCCCTCTCCTGACAAATTTCTTCTGCCACAATCCTCTTCCTTCSCACTTYCTGAGCACCCATTAACAGAGGCTGGAGCAATCAGCAGCAAYGACAMAAGAGTTCCCTGCTGGAAGCAGAGCAGTTCTCTGGTTCCTGCCTTATGATTTTAGACAGACAGCTGGAAATCACACCACCAGCAGTCCATGTGCTGCTGTTTCCCAGCTGCCCACAGTCACCCAGAAGAGCACCAAGCACTGGTACAGCAATGAAGGCTGAGCCATGGGCTGCTCTAGCCCACCAATCTGCCTCTGGCAKTGTCCAGCAGAGACTGCCTCAGGAAATGTGCTGGAACAGAGCAGACAGGTTTGGCTTATTCCATTGAATGCAAWCAGTCCCTAGAGCATTTTGGTGGCTCTGGGTCTTTGTGTGCTCAATAAGCAGCAACTGACTTTGCTCCTGAGCATGGGCATCCAGGCTCTCCTGGATTGATTGGGGTGAGCACTCCTGGACTTTGCTGCCTTCTGTGAGAGGAGTCTGGTGTTTTGTGAGCCCAGTGTGCTTCTGCAGGTAGGTAAAGCTGCAGAGCAAAGGAACAGAGGAGTTGGTCAGAGCTACTGTTGTAGTCTTGGCCCATGGAGCATCAACAAGGGAGTGCAAGTGAGCTACAGCTGCCTGAGGATAAAAGCCTCCTAAAGGGCTGGGTGAAAACAAGGTCAGGCCACAGCAGTTCTAACCTGTGGCTTGTCACTGACATCCAAGGAACTGCTGGACTTGAGGCAGCTTGCCCACTGACCTTAGGGATGATGTAGTCTCTGAASCTGGTGTCTTTGGTCACAGTGTGGGGGAGACCAAGGGGTGTAAGAGCGATGAAGCGCTGGATTTCATGGACCACCGCATCTGTGTAGGGCATCTGGGTCCGGTCAGCCACACACGGTTTTCTTGATCGTCCTACTACCTGGTCAATCTCTTCTTGAACTTTCTCTGTCAGGAGAGGCACAAACCATCAAATGGGTCAATTAAACCAAACCTACCAAAATACGTTGCCCTAAGCTGTTTAGWGCTCACAGATGGCAGGAGCATTGATGTTGGTTTTGATGTTGCCTAGAACACAGCTGCACTGCTGCTCATACAAAGAACGTTGTCTTATTGACTTGGCTGCATAGGAGTAGTGGGAGATAAAGATGTGGTCACAGTCAAGTCCCAAAGAGAGAGGGAATGAGAGAGAGAAAGAAAGAGAGAAAGAAAGAGAGAGAGACAGAGAGAGTGGAGGGGGAAGTCTGGGGGAAGGATGTGGTGTTAGGCATGTAGCCAGCCCGAGGAACAGCTGGAGAGGAAGAGGTCACAAACTGGTACCTTGTATCTTTGGGTATTTGAGAAGGAGCAGAAGCCCATATCGTATGGTGGTGCTCGTTGTCTCAGTTCCAGCAATGAACAAGTCAAAGGCGCTTGTTATCAGGTTCTTCATGTGGAAACTGGAGTTGGGACGATCTTTCTCC